TATAGAAAAGCACAGTACAGTAACTGTATCTTATACACATCTAGATGTGTATAAGAGACAGATATTAACATCTATAAAAGAAGTAAACCTTTAATTGACAAATTTGATACAACCAGTTTTTGTTTTTTTTAAATGCTTGCATCTACAAAGGTACCAATAAATCAATAAAACTCACTTTGTTAAGATAAACACTTATTTATCCTTCTTTCCTTCATGACTTATCGAATAATGAAGTAAATTATTATTAAAATTCATTCAATTTTGTATTATAGTCTTACCATATTTTCCAAACGTCGTCCATATGGAAAATAATTCAATTACGTTATTAAAAATATTTAAATGTAAAAATATATATATATAAATTCGTTGTTTTTACATATTTTTATTATTGTGTTAAATTGACATATTAAATTTAATGTTAATACTTGTATTACTGTATAATCTTTGATAGTTTTGTAATAGGTTTATATCATATTTCTATATCGGTATTGTATTTCTTCACGAATCTCTGTGTGTGCCACAATCCGACTGTGTTTTTCATATTAATTATATACTTTTTGGGGGATTAGCTTGATTTAATTAGCGATGAACTGGAAACTCTTAAAACCTCAAGAGTAAATCGATAGGCGGAAGACAGGTTAAAAATTGGATTTCAAATCAACACATTATATAATTTCTTTGTAATATCGCATGAATCGCAGTGCATAAAAGTGGAGACACAGGGGAAAACGGATGGAAAGATCGTCTTCCATGGCTACTGACGGCAGAGACATAATTGCTTACGAAGTTCAGAGGATCGGGGGAAAGTTGTTGTTGTTGTTGTTTGTGGTGGTGGTGGTGATGATGATGATGATGATGATGATGATGATGATGATGATGATGATGATGATGACATAACCATTTATTTTATGCTATGGTTTAATTGATTGCAATAAACATGAATTTGGAATTTGAATTTAAATTTGGAAACTAAAAATAATTAACATAAGCTTATTTATTGTCATGAGGAATTGCACAGTTTAATGTGCTAAGCTACCGTATGTGTTTTATTAACAGGTTAAGGGAAGTACTTATGTAATCTCGTACAGGCTAGCAGATACCATATAAGTGGTGTGCTTTTGGTTTCCTATTAGACGATGAATTGGTTTCGGTATAGATTGCCACTAGCATTGTACATAGTATTGGTAACCTTTGGACTATTGCGTAACATAATAAATCAAAAGAGCTTTTTAATTTATAACAAACCATGTCCAACTAGATGACGAGCCCCTGTGACGATTATCAAGGCTTACATACCGTCAGTGAATTCATTCTACAGTAGGCCTGCCTATAAGGTCATAATTTTATGTATGTTATACATAAATTGATTTTGAGTTTTACCATATATGAATAATATTTTATGATTCTTTTCACTATCACTGTTATTAGGCCTATTATTTATAATTATACAAAAAAAAAACAACA